CAGATCCCACCGCCTCCCACAATGACCTCCCTGCGTGTGCGCGTGCGTGTGCGCGTGCGTGCGTGCGTGTGTGCTCGGTAACGGCAGCCTCGTGCACGCGCCGGGCTGTGGATCGTTTGTGTGCCGTTTCGTTTGGTGTTTTTGCGTTTTTTCTGACGAGTGGGAGAACATTTGCAAAGTGTTTTGTGTCTCTGGATCCAAACCTGCACTTCCACAGCTGCAGAATACTTATATATATATATATTTATGTATATTTATATATATAAATAATGAAGTTGCCCGGACAGCAGGCAGATGGCGATGTGTGCAGCCTCCAAGTTTCCCAGAAATTCATTTTAAAGGCAACTACGACACGATAGTTTCTGCGGGATGATAATTGAAACATCATCCTCTTTAGTTTCAGATGAATTAGTATTCAGTATTCATACTAAAACCTCTGCTGTCGCATTGCTTATGGAGTAAATAACGATATATAAATAACGAAAGAAAAGAAATTCATGCTGTTTCTGGTGAATTGTGACTCAGGGTGTGATGTCATGACATTTAACTTTAACCCCCCCTCACAAAAACCCAAAAGGTTTGGACAACTGATAAATGGATGAATGGAATGCTATTTAGACTTTGATCTTTTTGACATTAAAGCGTGTAATTATTTAAAGGTGGTCTTAAAAAGCCCGTTTGAGGTATTGGGAGGAGCTTCATTGTTCTGGTCTGTGATTGGGACTCAAACCCAACAAAACCAACATGGGGGCTTGTTGTTTGTTGTTTGGGTCTTTTCAGGATTAGCTGGACTTTGTTTACAGACCTGACAGGTGAGATGGGTCTGGAGCCTCCATTTAAGGTGGAAATGGGAAAGGGTCAAGTGTGGTCAGGACATATCTGATGGCGTTTAGAAGGCCTACGATTTCTCTCCAACAGGCCACAGCTCGCCTCCACCGCTTTACTCTTTAGTTGATCATACTCGTAGATATAGAAAACATACACTTGCCCACTTACAAAGAAAGCAACGATCTATAACTTTAATCATATGTACATTCTTACAGTGAAAGACAGAATCCCAAAGAAAATTCCAGAAAATCACATCATATGAATTTATAAAAATTGATAACCATCTGATGAGGAAAAATAAGCATTCTTTGTAAGTGGGCAAACCTGCAAAATCAGCAAGGGCTCAAATACTTATTTACCCCACTGTATATCTAGATCTTAGATATAGAAAACATATTTATTGAGTAGGAATAAGGTCTTAGCTCTGTCACACTGGTAGTGCACGTAATGGACATTTCGTTGTCAAGATTCACCTCGTGTTTTTTGTACAAAGACAATAAAGAAAGTCTAAGTCTAAGTCTAATCAACACAGAAAATGAGAAGCAACAGAATTAGTTTAGCTTAGCTTAGCTTAGCTTAGCTTAGCTTACGTTAGCTTTGCTCTGTCATACACACAATTCCACTTTTGGCTGATTTTAGAGGTTTTTCTATAACTGCTACATGATCTGGAAAAATGCATGAATTCAATGTTTTAGACCAAATTATGGACCAAATATCCATCCGTGTTCTAGATCTGCTTATTCCAAATGGCTCAAATAAAGGAAGTCTAAGTCTAAGTCTAAGTCTAAGTCTATACTGGTATTCTCCATTTGAGGCTAACATTTTCCCAGTGGTTTATTTAGGCCTCTCCATTTTTCAGCCCTTTTGGAGCTTGAGAAGAACTCAGATTCTGACCCTTTTGGGGGGGAAGCGCCTTGTGAGGTCATGTGTTTTAGACTGATTGAATACTTTGATCAAAAGCCTTGTCTGATTTATTGTGAGATGATCCCTTTGCTAGCGGAGAAGATCAGGATTAACGGGTTCTCTCTCTGGGGATTCGCGGGGGAAATCTTTTGAAGCCGTTCAGTGAAGGGCATGGAAAATGTCTCAAAAAATGCTCCTCAACCTGGAAATGTCTCGTTCGACTTAAGCCGGAGTTGTTTTGGAAGCACAAATCCACGCTTGTCTCTTTTTTTCCATCGGTAACTACATAATTAACATGTTCAGACATCCTCCTGAAAGGAAAAGCTTCTGGTTTAGTCTTCTCTTTCCTTTTTTTTTTGTCTCCAGCCACTATTTGGACCCGTTCCTTTTGACATGCAAAAACAAGAATTTGCTCTTTCACCCCGGGGTGAAAGGGCGTGGCCATAAATACCCGTTTGTCTTTGATTGCCTAATTGATTTACAACCTGCTCCAGACTCTTCCCTCATTACCGGGGAA